GTTCAGCCCTTTTCCGTTCGCATGTGCTATCAGCGATTTTGTCAGGATGCGGCACCTGGCCACTCCTCCGGCCGTCCGAGTGGAAGCTCTTTGCGGGCGGGCTAATTGCGCTTTACCGGCAACTGCTAGGACTGCGAGCTGAGGAATGGCGCGTCACTGAAATTCAGATTTTAGCCAGGACCGGGCTGCCTTGCCCGCGTTCCCTCTTATCTGCCGAGCGGTTGCGCTTCCTTCTGCTCATGGTACGTTCTGGACCCGACTTCGCTTGGGCACTTATGCAGCACTTTGAGGCTTTTTTGGAGGGGTTGCGTTCTGCATCTGCTTGGCTCCTCGAAGCTGTACAAGGCTGCTCTGCGCTCGGGCATATTGAGACTTCCTGGTCTCAGTGGGAGCAATTGATGCTCTCTGCACCGGGTCGTTTTAAAGGGCTCATCAAACGAGCTGAACTCTGGCACATCGAGGCCTGCAAGACACGGGCTGCCTGCGCCACCTTCGGCCGCACAGTATGGCCGCCCGCCCCCCCTCGTGCTGGTCCGGACCTCTCTGCGTGCACTCAGGCCTGTTTGCCATGCCGCATAGCGTTTCGCACTAGACAGGCATGGGGGGCTCATGCACATAGAGCCCATGCGTATCATCACCCAGCTCAGTCCCTTGCGAAGGGACGACGGTGTCGAGCATGTGGTTTACTTCTCGCCAACTCTGCCAAACTGTGCTTGCATCTGAAGCACTCTGGTAGATGCTTGCGTGCTTTAATGCGTCCCCCTGCTTCAGGGCTACCTTATGATGCCGACATGTCGACAGCTCATGCACAGGCTCCTGCTGAGCCAGGCAGAGGCCTGTCACGCTCGGAGGATCCTGGCCACGAGATCTGCCCTGAGCTTGATGATGCTCTCCGCTCCGCTACCATAACTACGGATCAGCAGATCTTTGACTTGGTGGAAGCGCATGTGGCCCCACTCCCGGTGTTGCGTCGAACGCTTGAGGAATGGCAGGCTAGCCTGACGGATGACGAGTTGATCGCTGCATGTGCTGACGTGCTTCTTGTACTCATAAGGTCGCAGGCAAAGCAGACGTCCTGGCGGCTGAGCCACTGGACTCCAACGAATTCTGCCCTGCTATTGTCCCTCCGCAGCCTGTGAGACCATTTGCTCCCAGACCTGTCTTCTGGAGCGGGCACATTGCTTGCAGTTGGATTTCTCGTTGGGGCCTTGGCGTGTGCCCTCCTGCTGAATTGCCTGCCCTTGACTCCTTTCCGGAGCCTCTCCCTTCGGCCTCCGGTTTCTGCGTCTACTTCCCTCCTCCTCCCTCCCCGTGCTCTTCTTTCTTCCGGCCTGGTGCTGGTCCTGTGCACCTTATTCGCGCCAACAGGCATTGGATTGAGCGGGTCACTGACCTCTCGGGGAAATTGGTCCAGCGAGCTCTTACGGGCGTACCTGTGCATCTGGCCTTTCCAGTCAATGCGGATGCCATCAGCCCCTTTTCAGAGTGGTTACTGGAGCTTCAGGGAGGCACGGACTGGGTAGACTGCTCTTGTTGTTTCACTTGTGAATTCGTCGTTTAGCTATAGGCACGTCCACTGGACTTTGAGCCTTATGGAAAGAAAAAAGGCCCCTTTTGCAAGCCCCAACATCCAGAAAAGTTCCGCTTTACAGAACCCTCTCCACCCTCTCCACCCCGAATCCGGGCCTTCCATCGTCTCCTCTTCTTCTCTACCAGCCGAGGGTGGCCACTGCCTCGACGTCTGGGATTGGTGTTTGTGGGTTTTTGTACTTTGGGCTTCTGGTTTTCAGGTTCAGGGTTTAACTGCTAATGCTTGTCAGTACTAGTGCAAAGTATACAAGGACGACTGCTGCTTCTATGGTGTCATCACGACTAGCTGCCTGACGCCGGTGATAATGATAGTGATCGCGATGCAGATGGTGATGGTGAGGACGGGATTGATAATGTTGATGACGATGATGATGCTGGATGACGACGACGATGACGGTGACGGTTCGGAATATCACCGTCTTTAGCCGCATTGGTGTCAGTGTTGCAGTTCAGCGGTTGTCATTCTGCATGTTGCTGTGCTATGCTTTCTACCACAGGCTCATGGCCACTACTCAGGAAGCCCAAGAAGCCCTGAATCCTATCATCTTTACGTAAACCTCTCATCATCACGGCTACGTTCCTCTACTGACGTTGATAGCACTCCCTGAACCCGAAACCCTAAACTAAACCCTAAACCCTAAACCCTAAACCCTAAACCAGAAGCCCAACGTAAAAAAGCTCTACCAACCTCAATACTAAGCCTGACCTGAAGGTCCCAAAAGAAAGCTTCAGGGCCAGGGTTTAGGGTTTAGGGTTTAGGGTTTAGGGTTTAGGGTGTTGGCTTTAGGTCTTCAGACTTGGGGTTTGGGGCTCAGGGTGATAAGTCGTAGGTTTTAGATCGGCTGCTTAAGGTTGCTTGTGTTCAGGGATCATAGAAGGCCAGAGACAATATCAGGTCTAACCCCAAACCTCGAATTCTAAAACCATAGCCCAACCAAATGTACATCTTTAATCCCTACAAACATCCTAAGCCCAATGCGACCCTATTTAACATCCAGCTGCTTAAACAAAAAACAGATGAAACCTTTGTAAAGCCTTGCCACTTCAAAAGCTTGAACAGTGGGATCTCGGATAAACAGGGCGCCATGAACCCTGAACCGTAAACGACCCGCTGAGGTTCCTCAGATGCTATAAAACCTGAACCCGAACCCCTAAACTCCAAACCCTACACCCTTGAGAAGCTTAGGAACCTTAAGAACCCTAAACCCTAAACCCTAAACTCCAAACCCTAAACTCTAAACCCTAATCCCTAAACCCCCCCTCCCATGTTTTGGCGGAGGGCTGAGGAGGTCGTCGAGCATCTCCACCTTCCCAAAAAGGAGGGGTTGTTGCGTTTTAGGGTTTAGGTGTTTAGGAAAATGGGTTTAGGGTTAAGGGGTTTTGGGTTTAGGGGTTTAGGGTTAAGGGTTTAGGGGTTTAAGGGTTAGGGTGTAGGGGTTTAGGGTTTAGGGGTTTAGGGGTTAGGGGTTTAGGGTTCAGGCTTTGAGGGATGGTGCATCTAAGGATTTATACTCGGTTTGTGAAGGAGTTCCTCTTCCCGCAGAGTCCCGTCTGCGGTTTGCATATCCCAGCCAGACCGCCAAAGCGCAATGCGCCTTTTGAACTCATGGGGTGTTCTTGGGGGCCCCATGGGCAAGCAGGGACTCCAACGAAGTTGTTGCAGGATAGGCTGTTGGTTCGACATTGGAGTGAGCCTTTTGGACTTAGCATTCTTCTTCTTCTGCCATGATTCTTATTACTAGTACTACTACTGCCACCACAATTACTACGACCACCATCAACACGACGCCTGCTAACTACTACTACTACTACTACTACTACTACTACTACTACTGCTGCACTACTACTACTACTACTACTACTACTACTACTACTACTACTACTACTACTACTACTACTACTACTACTACTACTACTACTACTACTACGACTAGTATTTGTTCATCAATGCTGCCCACCAAGGTACA